GCAGATGCTACCAAAGTGTAGCATCTGCTTAATTTGGATCGGCCTGTTACATATACTGGGGTTAGGAATTACCTGGAAAGTTCCAGTTGTTGGTTGTTTTAAGTTAAAGATTAATGTCTATAGTCCAGTTAAAGTTTTGTAGAGCTAAAATTTTAAATAGGACTCGGCATATATTTGGGCCATATGGTCTTTGTCCCAGATTCTTAACTCTGCCATTAGAGACAGAAGCAGCCAGAGGCAGCCAGTTCATAAACGGAGAGGCTGACCATGCCGCAGGCATACTAGATGTAGAGAAATGGGTGCGGGTTGCCCCTGAGTTAGCTGCTCTATGGGAGACAGATGGGGGAGTCGGCGTCTCCAGAGACTAGTAGTCATGAAAGCCTTTTCAGGTTTCCCTGGGTCACCGGAAACCAGGGCCATGGACTTTTTTAGAATTAGAATATGAGCAGGTAAGCTCCATGCTGAAACTGCAATCTCTTATCAAAAGGTTAGATTCTAAAAGCAAGATTACTCTGCTGCTGGTGGTTGCCACCAATTGGTTTGTGACTCACAGTGACCGTATGCAACAAGGTAGAACTGCCCCGTAGCGGTTCCTAAGTTACAGCCTCTATGGGAGCAGATTGTCAGGTCTTTCTCCTGAGGAGTGGCTGGTGGAGTTGAACCATCGACCTTTTGGTTGGCAGCCAAACATGTAACCATTGTGCCACCAGGGTTCCAGAAGATCACTGTAAACCAAACTTCAAACCAATCCACGGCCATTGAGTTGGCGCTGATCTGCATTGACCCCTGTTCTCAACCTGTGGATCGTGACCCCTTTGGGGGTCAAATGACCCTTTCACAGGGGTTGCCCAATTCATACCAGTAGCAAAATGACAGTTAAGAAGTAGCAACAAAACTAGTGTTATGGTTGGGGAGTCCCCACAGCACGAGGAACTGTATGACAGGGTCTGGGCATTAGGAAGGCTGAGAACCGCTGCCAGAGACCGTCTCTGACAATGAATCCTGTAGGAGCGGATGACCTCACCTTTCACCTGTGAGGCAGCTGGTGGATTTGAACTGCCAACCTTTTAGTTAGCCATGTGATGTGCTACCTGGGCTCCTAGTAATTAATTTATCAAGAAGCACCCAAAACTAATATACTTAAGATGGGTAAGAAGTGGAGTTATTGGATGGGAACATCTGAAGACTTTTGGTGCGCTTTACCATATTCTTCTCCAGACTCTTCTGATCTGTGATGCTTCAAAAAGATTGGTGAAAGATTCCCTTATCTTTTCATTCCATTTTCCCATAAACTCTTTGAAGCCCCCTCATATGCATCTCTTTTGGATAGTGGATGAGGTAGCAAATTGGTTGTACCGTTGCCAAATTACGCTATTATCATTTGCTGGGGCATTAGGGAATCTCTAGCAATCTGA